CCCCAAAACCCCAAAACCCCAAAACCCCAAAACCCCAAAACCCCTTAAAGGATGACGAAGTTTGAAGCTAATCAATATTAATTATTAAGGAAATCAAACTTCAAACTTTTAGGTGAGATAGAGGGTTATCGCTGTTGGAAAGTTTGTACAATTAGTTGTGCAGATTAATTATGGAATTTTAAAGATGGGGTTTGGAAGCGTTTGTGGGTGTGCAGTTGTGAATGTGTAGGTATCGAAAGTTAGGAAAATTTGAAACAATCGTTTTAAGGAATGATAGTTCATGAAAAGAATTTAAATCATACAAACATGGATATTAACAGAGGTTTGTACTAGCCGAAGATATTTAAGGCAGCTTTTAAAGGAGCTTCTTGGAATTTAGCTAGCAGAAGTGGGATTTTAGAGGGTTTGTAGTACCTGGATTATCTAACTTTGGGAAAGAGAAGTTATGGGTGATGTGTAATAGATACAGTTTTTGATATATTTTGGCATAGGAATGGCAAGAAAGCGGACAATGGGGAAAGAAAGAGACAGAAGAACTGTTGGAGTGAAGTCAAATGTTGAAACTGAAGTGAGGTACGCACTATAGTTTTAATATAAAATAGTCCTCAAAATCTTGGAAAAGTTGGAGATATTTGACAAAAAGGTAATGAAAGTACTTCAAACAGTCAGATAAGTAAGCACTAGTCTTGCTTGTTTCCTCTAAACTGATTTCTTAACTTTCTATAGATGAGGAGACAGAGATCAATAGAGCAAATGATTATAAGAGGAACTCTCAGAAAGATCTGAACAGAAAGCAACGTCGATTAATGCAAAACAGACGAAGCGCTTCCCGATTGAGAATTAAGAACAAAGAGACATTCAATAGCTTACTTCAAGACAAGCTTGAATTAGAGGAGGAGAATACTAGTCTAAAGGAAAAGGTAAGATTTATTGGTAATTTGTCATATTTAATTCTGACGTCATACTTACAGCTAATAATAATTTACCTCTAGGTCTATGAATCCCAACAAGTTCTTATGGATGCACTTCAGGAGACCATTCAGATTAGGAAAAAGATTGATGAAGTTCAGAAGAAACAGAATAAAATGCTGATTGAGTACTTTAATGAGTACCACCAAAATGGAATCTTTGGCTCAGAGTTCTTCCAACAACTTGATAAAAATTCTTTGAATTTAAACAACATTGAAGAAAGGACTAGTACCCCAATCCAAGCTCACCAACCAGGGTATGATCAATCTGGACTTGGATCAAACTCTGAATTAAAGAATATGATTACTTCAGAGAGCTCAAGGAATCCTTGGGTTCCTTTCTCAGGTTCTTCTCTTATGAAAAATCAAGAGTCTAATTATAGAATTATGCAAAACAGTATAGATAAATTGCATAGCAATCAGATCCAACCTCTTCAAAATCTGAATTATCTTTCAACAGCTCTGAATGCATTGGTCAAGGAGAACCCCAAGAAAGAAAAAGCTTCTTTCGTGGGGCCTAAAAACTAAGCTATTTCCATATAAAAGTCAGATTTTGAAAGGCAGATGAGATTTTGACCCAAATGCTCTATTATCTTCAGGAGTCTCATATAGACTTGGAGCTCTCTATGATCCTACTACCTCAGCCATTGACACTAGTAATCTATAGCTCTCTACTCTTTGAACCTCTGAGCTTCTATGCACTCTCAGTCTTAGATGTACGACCTGAGGTAGTCTTCCAACCTCCACTTGCAAAATCTGACTTATCCTTCAGAGTCATAGAAGGATTATGCTAATAATGCTCATTTATATTTTATCAATATCTGAATTATCCAAAGGGGTTTTGGGGTTTTGGGGTTTTGGGG